ATTTGGCAAAATGGAAGTTCGAATTCATACAATCCAAGCCCTTGACTAATACTTAAGAACAAAACGTTGAGAATCAAAATTACTATAATCTATTATGTATTTATATGCACCAGAACACGTAGAACAGACTCAATATTGTTAATAAAAAAATTGCACCCTTTTACATTCACTCAACCACTTACTACATAGTACTATACTAGTATATTTTTAATATTTAAAACCAAAAATTGTATGTTTAGCGATTAATATCTCGGCAGAAAATGCCAAATTTATTACTGTTAAAATATACTAAATTTATTGGTGTATTGTAATACACATAAATTCAATTTAATTTTTATCCTTCGTATATTAATTGATAACTAAACATGATAGTTGCTAATTTTTTTTTTAAATGTATTCCAATATTTTAAGCATAAAAACGATGTCCGGGACGCATATAACCAAAGTGCATATGGTTTCGTCACTAGATACAAAATAAATCATTTTCATTGGGCCATTCAAAATTTTATATTTTACCGCGCTTTTTGTCGTCAATATTTTGATAACAAAATTATTATCAATATTAAAATTATACATAGAAAAATAAATAATATTCAATGATATTACATTATAGCTGTGCTTAGTCATTTTACACAATAAATACGTATTTATATTTGTACAACTTATAGGATATAGGTACCAAGATTATTATTTGTTTGTATTATTATTTTTTGGATTTAAATACATTTTAGTAAAATTTAGAAATAAGTTGTACATAAATACCTGTTCATTGTTCATACTAATCAATAATAATCATACCATTGTATCCAAAAGTTATGCTTGTACGATTTATGATAGGTACATAATTATTAATATAATGATGAGTAATGATATACGCCTAAGCAATCTTATCTTTTTTGAAATTTAATGTATAATAAAATAATTATAAAAATTGTTAGCCATTAAGGATAATAATAAGTTACAAATATTGAATAGAATAAAATATAACAATAAGATATTACACACAAACGTATACACAGGCCCATATTTAGAGGGGACACGCAGTCTTGTAAAGAATACTTTTATAATGTATTCAGAATAAGTATTCGAATAAATGGATGAAAATGTATTCAGAATACGTATTCGGATAATTTAAAAAAAATGTACCTATTCAGAATATATATTCGAATAGTTAAAAATATATTCAAGTACTTAAAGTATTCGAATACTTTTAAAATATTTTTTTTTGCCAATTTATGTTAATTTTGAAATAGTTTGGAAGTTAATGTTTGATGACAAATTTTACTACATAATGCATAAAGTAAATGAACAAATAAATACTAAATATTACATATTTTATATCAGTTAATATTTAATATACCAAATATTCAAATATAGTTATTATTGAATTGTGAATACCAATTGTATTAAAAAATCCATGTTTTCATTTAAATTCCCCTTGATTTTAATATTTTTATTAATAAAATATTAAAATACACCACAAATTATATTAAGTAAATACATACAGACTACAGTACACCATAATTCCAAAATAATCTTTTATATACCTACATAATTTAAAAATAATCATATTCATTATTCATTTATATTTCCACTGAAATAACTGAAGAGAAAAACTATTGCTCATAATTTATTATATACTGTATAAAATCTACGATTTAAAATTTAAAAATCGCAGTATTGCCCCAAATTTGAAACAATTTTATAAGTTCAGATAAAAGTATTTTTATAGTGAATAAAAAATACAAAAAATGTGTTCAGAATACGTATTTGAATACTTTTTATGAAAAGTATTTAAAATAGTATTCGAATACAAAAAAAGTATTCAAATACTTTTATTCGAATACATTTATTCGAATACTTTACAAGACTGGGGGCACGGTTAGGCACATGCCCGGGGGCGTCAAGTCTCAGGGGCGGCAAAATATTTTAGCAAAATTAATTTTAAAAATTATACACCTAATGAAAAAAAAAATAAAAATAAGGAAATTGTATGTTTTATTATGTTATAATTTGTTTAATTTGTTAATCAAAAAAATTATTAAGCGATTTTCATTTATAAGTTATATTTTAATATTAAAAAAATGGACGAAATGGACGAAATAATAAATGTTATATTATTATTATTTTTTTTTTTTTTTTTTTTGGGGGGGGGCATATATTATATGTCCAGGAGCACCAACATTTTAAAAACGGGCCTGCGTATACACATACTCGCACATACACACACACTACATTAGATATAAGCTCAGTTTTCATTCACGGGTTCATACGCATTCTTATTGTCTTTTAGTACTGACGGTCAAAGGCAAGTGTAAAAGACTATGCAGATCGTCTATGTAGTAAGACGTAGTTAGTTGTAAACGTTTGTGGTAATAATTCAAAATACGTATGCCAATGTATATTAAAAATATATTGAATATTATTTATTTGTCTATGTATAATTTTATTATTGATAATAATTTTGTTATTAAAATATCGGTGACGAAAAGCGCGGTAAAATATAAAATTTTGAGCGGTCCAATGAAAATGATTTATTTTGTACCTAGTGCCGAGACCATGTACACTTTGATAAAATGCGTCCGGGACACGGTGCAACACGATTGTGCAATTTTTCCTTTTTTAATCTAACTAATTACACCACGATTGCATAAAAAATTTACAACATGATTGTACTCCAATCCCTTTTGACCTGATAAAATCACAACACCATTACACACCAAATTATATGTGTATTTACTATGTATAATAATCAGGCGCGGACTGGTAAAAAAGGGCACGGGATGCTAAATAATTTTAAGGGCAAATAATAAAAAAAATTTAGGGCAAATTAAAAACATTTAGGTTATTTATAAAATATTTTCTTTTTTTTTAATAAAATATTGAAAATACGTTAAAAACGTAAATAGGAACTTAACAAATTACTAAAAACATTCAAACAAAATTGTATAATATTAGATTACAATGTTCGACAGTTGTATGGTGAAAATAAATTGATAGTCTGTTATTAAACATTCAAGTATTATATTTGGTAAAAATACCATACATTTGATTTTAGCCATTGCGATGTATAAAGGTAGTAGATACATGACTAAATAAAAATACAAATGTATAGGTACCAGCTATCTAAGAGCAATACTCACATGAATCTCAGTAGTACATTTGTATGCTCACTCTCACTTAACTACAATAACTATAATATTAATAAATATAATACATTCTATGACTTTTTTAAAATAACGATTTGTAAATTATGTATTATTCGGGACGTTTTTTACTATTTTACTGATCATTACATTAATTTCGTGTTGGACGTAGAAAAATAATATTGTTCAATTCTGTGATTTCAGAGATAAATGATTTTAACCACGTTCATATTTTGGTACATAATTAAGCAGTAGCAGTTAATAATACTATTTTTGTGGATCTAGACTCTTGAAAGGGCAGTTTCCCCCCCCCCCCAGAAATTAAGAGGAAAAACTTATCCATTTAAATGGGTCAGTAAATCGTGATAAATTTTTGCCACTCACAATATTATGGCCAAGTGCCGCTTATGAAGAATGTGTTGATAATAATTTAATAAATTTAATTTAACATACATAAATAAAGGACTCAAACTGATTAACTTATTTCCTTACTAGTTGCCTACTTTAAATGTATTCTTTGTGGTTGTTATAGTTATTATATAAATAATAGATCTACCTACAACTTTATCAGAGAACTGTAATAGGTAGGTATTAGTCTTCAAAATTCACATTAATTTTAGATGGAGTAATTAAGGCACATTTATACTGATAGGGGCAAATATATTTTAGGGCAAGGGATACTGTAGCATCCCAGTACCCCAACCAATCCGTACCTGATAATAATTTATATACAACATAAAATAATGTATACAGCACATACTTTTTATAATTTGTAAATACATGCACTCGAACTATTAATTCACAAAATGCATTTTTTCAAAATTGAAATGAAAAGTTGATTGAGCTAATGATAGTTATGTTAATAATCAAGGCTGGGCATTAACGAGTTAAAAGTTAAAATTAATTTATTTAACTCGTCACTTTTTTTTTTGAAATTAACGTGTTAACTTTAAATTAATTTAATTTAAAAGTAGCTAAATTAAGTTAATTTTAGTTTAAAGAATAATGCAATTTATTAAATGAGGTTTTTAATATATTTATAATTTACTATTTTAATATAAATCTCCTGTAGACAAAAATAATATGAAAAATAACTTTAATAGTCATTATATGGGTTATATTTTATCATTATATTTTTATAACATTGTTATATAAACCCTATAAACCCATGAAAATTCTAAGAATATTCTGTGAAAATAGTAAATACCATGAAAGCAATTGTCGATGAGGGATTAATCACAAAACAACTGTAGTATAATTTTCAATTTAATTTTATTATTCAACCAGCATATGTTTTTTTCACATCTCGTTAGAATTTATAATATATTGTTATTAGTTTATTACTTTATTAGCTTATTATATTTCTGTGAAAGTTTATTATTTTCGATTTTTGGTTTTTTGATAGTTAATACTTTTATGTATCATTATACATTTTCTCAGTAATTTTCTTGAACGTAAAAAAAACTAATACTATGTGTGCAATTTTTTATTTTTGCAAATTAGAAAATTTTAATTTTAAACTAAGTTAAGTTACTTTTTTTTCAAAGTTAACTTTTAACTTAACGAGTTAACGAAAAAAATATAAGTAACTTTTAACTTAACTTATTAATATACTTTATTTTGTTGTATTTGATTATTTTAAAATAATTTAACGAGTTAAAAAAAATCGTTAACTTGCGCAGCCCTGATAATAATATCGACTAATGACTATCAGTATAGAAAAAAAAAAACAATTTTTAATAAAAAAAAATTCAACTATTGACCCGTCAGTATATACATTTATCATACATGTAATTTAGAAAAAAAAAACAATTTTTAACCAAGCCAATGAATATATGGTAATTTATTAAAATTTCATTCATGCGCTTCAATTTTTCCGCAGTCGCCAATAATTATCTTGTGTTTTGGTTTACCGGAAGGCAATCCCAAGTTCTCGATCTGTGCACATACATAGATCGTAAACGGAAACATCAATTAGGTACATGACGTGAAACGGATACATACCAGTTCCAAAGTGTCAAACCCGCAAACAACTCTGCCGAAAACGACGTATCTCCCGTCCATCGTCGTCAACGGTCTGAACGTAATTAGGAACTGTGAAGTGTTTTCGTTCCTATCGAAATTGTACATGGACAGTACACCTGTACGCGACAACAGAACATCGGTTTAATAGTTTATCATTAGGGCTCGGATTTTTATGTATTAAAAAAGTCAAAATATGTAAATATTTATGTTCTTATTTTTGCTAAAATATGTATTAAAAAACGTAAAATATTTTACAAAAAAATCGTTATTTTACATTAATTTTTAATTGTTAATTAATAATTATTCATTTAATCATCATGTTGTCTTTTTCGAAAAAATTGGATACGACGTGCATTTAAAGATTTTCAAATTTTTATGTAAGGCGTTTAGATTTCAAAGTTATTTCGTAGCGGTGCATTCAACGTCGACCGAGGTTAATGGAGCATATTTCATACCACATATGTCGGATGGTGTTACTTCAATATAATTTGACATATTTTCATTTTTATTAATAAGATTATATCTAATAGTTTTAATTTTCTGTAGACCAACGTATTACCTAGTACGTAGTTCAATTAATTTTTATTATAACTCCGGATTCTCCTTGAACTTAATTTAAATTTCTGCATTTTCCAATATCGCAAGCCTCTGAATTATTATTAGATTTAATGTTTCTAATTTTTTTTTTTTTAACCATGAAAAAAAAACTGTGGATATATATGCTAAATTATTTTGCTAGTTATTATTTTACATAATATCAGAAGTAATAACGATTGTAGTGTCTAAATCAAGATTTGAAATATCTTCTTTCATTTAGTTCCATTATAATAATTGTAAATTAAATAAAAACTGTATTAAAATGGTATAAAAATGTGAAATATTTACAAAATATTTAAAAATATGTATTTACATCAAAATATGTAAAATAAAAAAGGTCTCATATTATTCAAGATGTTATGAAACGTGCTTATTTTTAATGGGAATTAAGAAATTCATATTTAATAAAATTATGTAATTACATAAAAATCCGCGCCCTATTTATTATTACATTATTACACGGGTCGTAATCGTTTGCGAAAATCAATTAGACGCAAAGATTTCAAACAGCAGTATTCACGCGGTGCACTGCGACTGCAGTTTTATCACGTTCAGAGCAATGACAATATTGTCAAGGGCAGTTTTTACAATTTTTTCGGGGCAGGTCCTTTGACATTATCTTACAATATATCAAGACACAAAAATGTTCGACCTATTAATAATCTACTACTTAAAATGTAGTTCTTGTGTAAACGAAAATAAACATATCGTAACACAGTGGTGGATCCAAGGTTTTCTTTTGGGGGGATTTTGAAAAATATTTTCCTTTGATAATAAAAATTATTGATTTTTAATACATATTTTTCCGGATGTATGGGGGGGGGGGTTAAACTCCCCCTACCGTGGATCCGCCACTGACTTAAAATTTTAAGCCCGAGCGTCCCGAGAGAATAATATATTACAGTTTAAACTTGAGACTTGGGGGCCAGACCTCCTGGACCTCTCCTCTAAAACTGCCACTGTATAAACGTTATTAATAAATTTAGAAAATGTTTTCTCCATCGTTCGGATGTACGGTTAAGCTCAGGTTTTGAATTTGTTCCATGGGAAACATTGTTTCAACTACAAATTAAAATCTAAAAACGTTCAGAATGATTATTTGCAATGTTATCGACTTTACTCAACATTGTATTTTAAAAAGTTATCAATATTATTTCCCTCGAATTGGTTTATTTTCTACGTTTGAGTATTTTTCTTCGTCCATCGAACCCAGGCCCATCACTAGGGTACAAGCCAAACGTACGTTTATCTAGGGTGGCATTTAAAGGGTTTATAGAAATCGAAGCGGCATAATTAGATAGATATCGACAACGGAAGAAAATTATTAATGTATTACGTGTCTTTTGCTGTTTTATCGTATTAGCTCCATTGCGAATACGATCACAGCGTATCATAATTTTGGTAATGTCTCTGACAGAGAGTGGCAGTGCAAATGGTTTCACATCAAGGCGAAAATCATCATCTAACGACGGGCTGGATCGGACTGAACGTAACAGGATATCGTACAGGCGACCCGTGTGCTCGTGACTTATCGTCGGTGGACGGACAAGAAGCCAAGATCGTTTTCTATTACTTGTTCACGAAACCAATCGCAACCATTGGAAGACATAAGCGCCAGAATGAGATAAGAAAAAAAAAAGTTGTACGCCATGGTTCAATCTAATTACTATTATCTCCAAGCCTTGAGGAATTATATGCATTTGATGTTGATATTAAATTTGGTAGCGGGCGGCCCAAATAGCTTCTCAATAAAAGACATCACTTGGGTCGCCGGCGGACATGTGGCAGTCAAAGTGATACAGTCATACGGGACATAATAATAATACCATTTTAAATGTAATATTATTGTACAGGACCTCGTATTAAGATATGCTATAAGAATATTATGAATTGACCCTTAAACAACCCCTCCCCCCCCAGAAAAAAATTATATCTACGCCATTGATTAAATGTGTACACGACGTGTCATCGGTTTCCGTACGTACCGGGCGCATTGTGGCTGAGCAGGTGGTTCTCGTCGGCGAAACAACGTCGCCCGTCGTGGACGGCCGCGGACTGGCCGCCGATCCCGACGGAGTACTGCACGTCGCCGCCCAGGCAAAACACGCCGGGCACGATGTGGAAGAACCGCGTGCCGCCGTAACCGCCGGGGCCGCGAAGCCGGCACAGGGCCGAGAAGTTATCGGCGGTAACGGGCACCACGCCGTCGTACAACTCGATCGTCAGACGTCCCAGCCGGCGGTCGGCCGTCGAGTCCACGACGTCTAGAAAACAACTGTCGCGCGAACCGGTCGCAATTATTCGGAGGGATGGGTGGATGGGAGCGGTTGGATAAGGCGAAAGTGTCCTGATGATGCCCGCTCACGAGGGCACATAAATAAATAGCTGTACCGTGTGAGATGAGAATAAAATCTATACCGGAGCTCGGATGTTTTCATGACTCTGCGCTTTTTTTTCGGGCAACCAGAATTATGAAATCTCGACTGCGAATATGCAAACTTATTTTGCATTTATCGATTGTTTCTAGATTGAGTCGCATACATTTTATAAATTATACGTATAGTATTAAAAATTGTCCATATTATTGTAAATTATCATTACCTACCGTTAATTGTGTCATTTTCAGTCTACAAAAACTAATTGTCGAATCGTCAAAGGTCCTTCAAGTTTGAAAATATCAGCAAAATTACTGTTGTGCAGTGTAATCCTGATACTTAAAGTGCTTAACGTATGTAAAATTCAACTTTAATACATCGAAAACTAATTTTTTTTCATATTTATTAGCTGTGTTTTTTGTAATTAAGTAATTTTAAATACGCATTAAAAATAGTATATACATTTTTTGAATTAATATTAACTATTTTTTTGCATATATTTGTTGAAAAAACAGGTATATTTAATACATTTTATGACACATAATTGCATATTTTGACATTTTATAATACATATTTTTATGAAATTTTGTTCATTAACATCCGAGCTCTAATCATAACACATACACAAGAATGGCACTTACTTGGATTTTTTTATCCTCACGTTTTTCGGTAATCTTGCGTTGACGATTAACGGATCGTAATTGTTACGCGATTTGATTCTCTCTTTTAAATATTCCTCATGTACACTACTGAATATTAAATTTTTGTAGTGATTCTTTTGATGTTTCCTTATCGCTGCGCGCGATTCGAGCTTGGGCTTCTATACGCGTACCGATAGTTTTTACGAAATCGCATAATCGTTGAATTATTATGTATGCACTTTTACACTCGCACGTACTTACCGCGTGACGGATTTTAGATAATAATAAATTGTTCTCCTTGAAAATTTTCTTGTTCTTTATCGCAATGGATTCTTCCACACCCGTCGACTTCCAAAGGTCTATTGCTTTCGGTTTATAACAATCGGTTTTCCCCTAAATCAAATACTCGAATGTGTTATTAATGCGCTCGCGCGCGCACGCACAGTAAAAATCTGCAGTGATCTTATTCGTCTAGTTGTCTCTTAGAAAAAAAAAAGGTATTTTCCATTTTCCTCAACACACTAAAATCATGTGCTAAATTAATTTACTGTACTAATTAATATGTTAAATCGGCATTGTTTATATACCTACTTTTTTTTTAAACATTGAAATACGAATATTTTTGATAATAGAACAAAATAGATAATGATTAAAATGTTATCCAATTTGAAGAGGAAAATTGTTTAGGCCATTTAGTTTTTACTCGAAATGTATTTTGGCACTCGATGAAATAAAATTGTTCATTTCATATGAAAAATAATTCGATCGGTTGGTCATGGCTGTTTGGAACGTGCACTCGTTCACGTCCCAGTTCAATGTGTTGAAAATCAACTGGTTTTTTTTTTTTTTTGATAACAAATTTTAATTTAACAGTTCGTAAAACAATCATGTTCTTAAAAAGTTCGATTTTCGCCGACCGGTAAGGGTATATATTATAATTTAGTGATGGGAATTATCGTTTTGTTTTGTGGAATCGTTCCAATCGGTACTTTTTTGTGTAAAACTGAATCGATTGGAACGATTCCACAAGAGGAACGATAACTTCGTCAAATTTCTAATAAGAATGTTTCGAGGGTTATTGATATTTGTCTACCGATTCACAACACGTCGTTTCGTCGCAGTCTAGAGCGTAAGCAAATCCCCGCCGTGTTGTAGTAATCGGTTTGTATCAGGGACGCCCACAGAAATGTAGCTCAGGGGGGGGGGGCAAAAAAATTGTAAGTACCTAAATACTTATAGGAAGATTTACTGCTACATATTTCATCTACTCATATTTTGTATTACTATCATTAATAATTTTTTAAAAATCAAAACTCATTTAAGCTTATATAAAATTACATTATTAGTTATTAGTTTTAATATTTATAAGAAAAAATATAATAAAGTTTAAACAAAAAACAACTTTATTTGATTAAATTCGCATCATATTTTATTATTTTATTCAAAAAGTAATGACAATCTCCTTTTGTTTGAAGCAAATAAATTAATTGAATCATCATTTGTTGATTAAAAAAATGTTAGATACTTGTTAGATACAAGGATTGTCGAATAGTCACTGAATACCCAAGATCAGCTTTATGTAAAATAACTTCCAATTTTGTAAGTGACGCGAAAATCTCAGGGGGGGCAATGGCCCCCACTGCCCCCCCCCGTCCGGGCGTCCCTGGTTTGTATGCTATACAAATTGTTACATTGTACCGAATGCAGCGGTAACAAACCAATTCTAGCACATGAATCGTTCCAAGTTTGTTCCGTCGGTGCTTTCGGTACTCGATGTCGGTATCAGTATCGCCTGATGGTGACCATTTCGTAGTTTGAATATTCGTACCGAATGTACCAACAGAACGACCGTGGAACGATTAACGTACTCGTGTTCCTATTCGTTCCGTCTACGTAATCGCGTTACACTGTACCGCAGAGGCGGATCTAGGGGGGGGGTTCAGGGGGTCAGCTGACCCACAGTTAATATTTGTTGACAAAATTGGCCTCTTGGAAATTTTTTTTCTCTTTTTAGACCTTGATTTGAATTCTTAGACAGTTGGTCCATCGGAGTTACTAGAAAAATGAATGCCATGTATATTCAAAATTTAAAATTTTTCAATTCATAATTTATATTTTAAATTATATCGTTTTAGTAGAAAGTTAAGTAAATCATATTTTATTCCCTACGTTTGTTGCGCTGATAAAATTAGATTATATTTATTAATCGTAAATAAATCATTATCGGTGGTGTCACTAATTCTAAAATGTATTACAAATATACTTATACACTTTTATGAGCATATTGTTTTTTTTTTTTTTTTACAAGGTATTCATTTCTAATTCAGTTTCATTCCTAATAAATGGCCTCTTGAAATGACTTGACCCACAGTTCCCCAACTCTGTATCCGCCCCTGTTGTACCGAATACATCGGTAACGACCCACCATTATTATAATTTAGTGTTCACCTGTGTGCGATAGATAACGTTTATGTTTTGTATCAGTTTCAAATTCTGATCGTCTATTTCCGACTGTCTGGCCGCGTTGATTTTCATGACGCCGGTATTGTACATCAATAACGGGTTCAACGGAGGCGCTTTGCTGTCCACTTTTGGTTGAATGTTTCTCAACTGTAATAACACAATCCAAATGGTAATGCTGGGGCGTATTGTTTTAGTTCAATCACATTTCATCGAGTCGTCCGATGAAGGAGGCGCACGTCGATAATAATTATCTATTATGGTATGCAACGATCGGTGGCGGATCTAGGATTGTCTTTGGGGAAGGGGTTTGAAAAATATTTTCTCTTGATAATGAAAATTATTGATTTTTAATACATATATTTCCCGATTTGGATTAACGTGGATCCGCCACTGGCAACGATCATCGGGGACGTACGTTGTCCTTGTGCGTCCGATACATCATCAACTCGGCCTTCGTCGTTCTGTCTGCGAGTTTGCTTTGCATTTCAAGTGTTACGAACTCGGTTTTTCGTCGAATCAAAGTGTGTTCTGATCAGGTGCTGCTTTGGCGTTATGTGTTAACTGTTGTATGAAAATATGTTCCCGGAGCGTAACTATAATAAACAACTAGTCGAGTAGGCGTTAGATCAATGGTTCTCAATCCTGTTTTTGTTCACGGCACACTAATATGGATCTCAAGTTTTTGCGGCACACTGTGCACTTGACAACAACAACTTTGGCTACGCATTAAGATACCATTTGGGTTAAAACCGTACAGTGTACACTTATTAGTGTTGGGCTTTTCGGCATTAAAAATACACCAAAAACAAAAAACGGGAGAGGCTTCTTTCCATTGATCAGGAAACGCGTGTGTGCTTATTTTCGATTCGATCACCTATCGAACTTTTGTGTAAGAAACGACAAGCTCAAGCTTGTCACTTATAATTTTAAATATTTTCTCTTTATGATATAATATTCCTTTGCATAAATAATTCTCAAATTTTTTTTTTTGTTTTTCTATTTTTAAAAAATAAATGCAATGAAATAAAATATCTACTGTTTTCAATACTTTTTTACCACCGTAATCATGGGCACAACTAGAGCTCAAATATTTGTACTGAAATTGCTGAAAATAAAATAAAATGGTATTTAAGTGTAATAACTAGATTATATAGATCTGAAAAAACAGGAGTGCTACATTTGAACTCAGGGGTGCTAAAACCCTATTGCACCCCCTTAATTACGCCTATGAGCGTAATCAAAAATATCAAACATTTTTCGTGCATTGAAAAAAAAATAAAAATATTTCGTATTATTATTTCTATTTGAAGAGCACGAATAACACTATTTGAAAAATACATTTTTTTTTTTTTTTTTTTTCTAGTTTGGACGTGGCAAAAAAAAATAAACAATTTATGCCCTAAATTAAAATAAAATATCAGATATATTGAAAAATGTCTCATTAAAATAGCTATAACTTGAGTTATAAAAATATTTATAAATGTCCAGTTATACGTCTGAACTCGACAGGATGTAATATTTAAAAAAAAAAATTCAATTTTTCTCATTTTGAAATCGGGCAATTAAGACCGCCTAATTATAATTTGTGAACCATTTTGCGACGGCATCGTCGTCGTCGTCGATTATTTCGGATGAACCGTCTGCAGATCGTTCGCGGGAAAGCCATCATCACGACCGTCACCGGGTCCGTCCGCGATCCGATTCATCTCCTTGTACGTCCGGTAAACCGATTTGAGCAACGACACGGTCCCTTCTAAGACGAACGAGAACAAAACGATCATCGCTGATACCGGTCAGCCTCGCTTCGTTACCAACACTTTTTACTTCGTCTACGCCCGCGGCGATCGTTCGGACTGAAAAGCGAATCGAGTCGTTTCGTAAACGATTTCTTGTGATATATTTATTGATACATTTGCGGGTTCACGTATAAAACTTTTTCGCGTTCCCTCACGTTTTTCCGTTAGAAACGCCAAGGAAACGCTTTCGCGTGTTTTATATGAGTATATTTGTTATGGGTTACCAAATATTATTATATTCAACGCGTATTATTATGTAACGTATTATGCGCAAACATCATGATCATCGTTATGTTTAAAATGATCATTGTCCAGGTAGTATTATTTAACGTTTTAAAGGGTAAGGCTAACAGATCGAAGGACAACAAAGTCGTAAAACGTATTCCTGGTAATATCAAACCAAAGGACAACGGATCAAAGAACAAAGTCGTAACCAGTTTATATCGGGAAATGATCAAAACAACCAATACAGCTTCCTATGACGTCAATCGAGCCATATAAAAGAGGGATAGAAATGACCACTATTCTGATGAGTTCTAGTCACGGAACTGCGAGCAACTTCATGTCATTTTGCATCAGATTTATATAATATTATTTGATTTTTTACTATAATTGCATTTATATTACATTATTATTACAAGTATACTAATACATAAGTACTTAATATTACATTTTATTTTTATTATTTTAAAATTTACATTTACGCATACCTATAAATCACATACTTTATTCTGCATTAAAAAAATTATCAATCTTTGTTTTAAATTTTTAGTGCTTTTTGAATAGAGGAAGTTTTCAACTTTACTAAAATTACGTAATGTTTCATCTGTATTATCAAAAGATGAAATTAATCGTCTTAGTTCGTGTACATAATCAAGTACATTTGTTACGGGGAGAATTGGTCTTGTTTGATACTTTGATGTTATTACTTGTTTGATAATATATTATGATTGTGTATATAATGTTATTATGTGCTCTTGCAGACATTACTGAAATAATAGTATAAGTAGAGTATGTCAATACATGTTATATTTTAAAAATTTAATTTCAGTGTACGGATAAAATTGTAAGCATTTTGTTCTCAATTAGCGTAATTTACAGATTTTAATGTTAATCAAATAATAAATAATTTATTAAAAATCACAAACTTTATTAAACAACTAATAACTAGATGTTTTCAGTTGTTTAATATTTTTAAACATAATGGGGTACATTATAAAAATCAAAACTGATTTACATAAGTATGTGTAGACATTTTTTCTTAATTTTTTATTAATTATATTATTAATATATAATATTTATCTAGGCTGTCATTGAGTTGAATACACATGAATTATGATATTCTACCTCATTTACTATCATTTGTTTAAAACAATTAGTAATAATATCAAATACTAATTAATACATTTTATATAGACAATTGGTACAATGTTTGTTTTTTTATCAGGCCAATACTTGTATCATGAATGAGGAAGAAACAATGAACTCTGGTAATGATAGAAAATTAGATTCGAATAAATCAAGCCTTGTTATTATGAATCAGAACAGGTTATTGGGATGATAATAATACAATTAGGTTAGGTTAATTATCCAGTAAGTTGTATTTCAGTAACTATTTAGTGTCTATAATTATTTGTAATTTTAGGCTAGTCGCTGACTGGCAATTTTCAGTTGCGCGATAGTTGCGCAATAGTTTAATTGCATGGGTGACTTCCACAGTGATATATGACAATCAGCTCACATGCAACTAATCAGTTTGACCAACTAATAAGTTTGTGTTTTGTCACAAATCGTTCGATTGCGCGATTACATCCTATGTATCATGTGACACGAGAGTACAGTTACATTTGTGAGTGCGGTATGATGAAACTGTTGCGCAACTAGTCGCATCATGGATTTCGTCGAGATAGCTGCAGTATGTGTTCTCGAATTAAAAAGAAGGAAGGCAATAAAAAAGAAGAAATATTGGGTACATCCTATAACTTTTCAGCGATTATTGAAAGGACAGTTTTATAAACTTCACAATGAATTACAGTCTTACCCGGTTAAAGTTTTTAATTTTTATCGTATGAGTGTTAAAAGTTTTAATGATCTTCTAAATTTGGTACATTAAATTAAGGTAAACTTATTTTTTTTTTAATAATATATACTATATATTAATTTTGATTTATGTTTTTTTAAGACACGCAAATGCCTCTTGTTATTACCTGTATATTCAAAATTGTTAGATGAGTTGGTGCTATGAAAAACTTGCAACGGCCAGCAATTCCTAAAGACATACATTGTTTGTGTATTAGCTAGATACAATTTCATCGTACAGTATGCCAGACAATTTCCTGAAATCCAAGTATTTGATATTGCATGAAACTAATCTTTACTAATGTATTGTAATGTATTTATGTTGTATATTTCAATGAAGGTATCCATCATTGTTTAGTTAATATTTTTTTTCATAATAACTTTCAATTCATTAAGTTAAATTTATGATTTGATAACTGTTAACTTCTAACTTATTTATCTTGTGTTCTCTTAACTGAGCTTGGGTTAGTTGTTTTCATTAAATTCCCCATCTTTGGTATTAATTACCTTACATGTTCTGCTTACTTTGTTAATTTATTTCTGTGAAACATTTTTCAATAATTTGCAATTTGTTATGATATACTAATGTAATGTGTTTATCATTATTATTTACAAAGATACTGGTTATTATTGAAAATCAATTTTTTGTAGAATTTGGACATTGACAAAGAAACTTACAAGTAATGTTCATTAAATTTGTATGGCATTTAATTTACAAATTAAATAATTTATTTAATCCAATAGATCAGAGATATGCAATCAAGAGCAGAAAGAGATAAAACCTATTAATGTTCAGCAGCTCAATAGAAATCATGGCATTTTGGCATTCTTGAGGAGAACTGGTCATCACAATGATGATTATGTCAAATTGAACCATGTCCTTGAATATTTTTTTTTTTAGTAAAACATTATATTAATAGAACACTACCGATTAAATTGTAGCATAAATATTGACAGAAAATAGAGCTTTGCGAGGAGTAATGTTATAATTAGTCAACATTGTTAAAGTTTATATTGTTAAAATGAATAAAAATTTTAGTTTAAATATACTTATTATTATAAACTTTGGACAACACTAGCATATAATTTTAAACTAATAGTTCTATATAACAATAACTTATGATGTTTGGATAGATGATAATTGCTATCACAACTTTACTTAAGCAGATAATTAATTCAAAATCAATCAATATTCCTATTAAACTATTAAATGAACATTAAAATTTAAGATAATGGTTATATTTTTACTAAAAAAAATTGGTATGTAGAATACAACTGATTTAGGTATATACTATAGGTAGTATACAATATGAATTATAATATTTATAGAAAAAGAAAATATCTTATGTAGTACTTGGTACAATTGACAATTTTTGTATCCATCAAGACATCTAAATGTTTCTATGATATTGCTAGCACAAAGTTATGGTAAAGAAATTAATGTATTATTAATCTGGGAACCAGTAAAAGGGTTTGTATAGTCTAGTTTTATGAGTTTTTAATATTTATAAAAAAAATTGATGATTTACTAGAAAAAAAAATTGTTTCTTTTATTGTTAAGTTAAGGAACAATACATATTTTTATTATGTTTAAGACAGAATAGTGGGCTTGGATCAGTTCTCCTCATTGATAAGAAATAAAAATCAAATTTCCTAATTCATTGGTGCTAATGTCAAAAAAAAATTCTCACCAATATAACCTCTACAGTGATATTAACATAATAACAAAAAAAATCCCTGAATTTCAAATTTATTTATTTTCAAATTCATATTTCAAAACCAATATTTTTGAAAAAATTAAAAAGAAGTCTGTTGTATTATACTATAAATGAATGTTCACAAAATATTATAGCTTGAAACTTAATAGTTTGCAATAAATTACCTACGAGGCAAAAATAAATGATTGCTGTCATCTAAATTTCAAAATCTATATAAGGCACCAGTAACGAGATCGAACAGTCGCGGGGTGTCGCGGCTAACGACAAGTTTTATTTAAAAGTAAATTATGTGTTTTATTGTGAGACTGAAGTTATTATAATCTAATTTGGTTTTAAACTATAAAATATTTGTTTTTAATTTTGTTTCTAGTAAATTGGGAGTATCAAATTCTAGTGTGTGTACTGAAGCGTTTGTGGCGAAAAACACTTATAAAATAGGTAACAAGAGGTTTCTGTACTTACTTTCTCGTCCAGTACTGGTTATTGTGGTCAGTAGTTCGAGAGTTAAAAATACCTTACAGTTATAAAGTATAAATCCTGTGGTACTTGTTAATTTGTCCTTTTGTACAGTACTCGTTATCGTAGTCATCAAAAGGAGAATTAAATAAGCTTTAACCAAAAGGTATCGTATATTTACTCTTTGACGGTCTGAGACTCAATAATGGAAATATGTCAAGCCTTTGCGTGGCGTATACTAGAGGTTATACTGTAAAATACTATAAATACTTTAAGTAGATCAAGTTTACCTATGTGAAAAATGTTCGTAGGGTCATTGGGTGATCGACAAAACGTGTATGAAAATGTAAAATTTCTAATTGTTTGTCAAATTTGAAAGAAAATTGTTAAAATAAATTAAATTTCCACTTATATTATTCACATCTGCTTAGATATTATTAGAAGTTATTAATATTTTCGAGAGAAATACACCAGTGTTTCTACAAAAGTAAAATCACATAAACCATTTAATACAATGGCTGTATTAATAAGCAATAATAGGAACCATTTAAATGTATCAATTATATAAATTGTAAAAAAAGATATGATTAATAACATAAATAAAATAATTAGGTAATTGAAATAACTCCTCAACTAATTAACTTCAGTCTATGAAAATATTTTGTAAAAATTATGACTATACATTAAACTAAAAAGATGAAGAAAAACAATACCTATGAACATTATGTTAGTTTTTGAAAAAGTATTAACAAAGGATACAATTTGATTTGATTTATTGATATTTCAACATTATCACATACATAATATTTAAATATAAATTATAATATTAGTGTTGATACCTACTCTCTATAAGCAAAGCTTAATTGGAAGTATGGAGTTTAGTAAATAAATATTTATAACATTCAGTGGCATGTTCAGGTATTTTTTTGGCGGAGCACTAATCAGCTACATATAAATTACAAAATAAAACCATAATAGCATCAACATATGAATTAAAAAATCATAAACTAAACCTACAACTAAATTAGATTATTAATTTTAGTCGTCTAGCTTTACCAGTTTGCCACTATTGGCAAACTTATCTATTACCATATCATCCATTATATTTACATATCTATGGATGGATAAAAGATCAAGCCTATAAGCCATAACTCAGGTGTAGTATTCTGAAGATATTTTTTCAAACTCCTTAATTTCTGTAAGCAATGGCAGTTAAAAATGGAAGTATTGACTGTAATCAAAAGAATCAAAGCAAATTTAAATACCATACAGTACACCAATAGAAAATTATAAATAAACAGTATTTGAGATATAATATTTTTAAAATTAAAAGTAACTGTGTTTTAGTTAAAAAATATATTAGTTCCAACAATAAATATGAAATATTGTCATATCAATGTTACATATAATCTTCATCAGTTAATTAGCACTAAAACTACAGTGTAATAAAAAATATAATACTTGTATATTTAAAATAATTCTCATTAGAAAACTTTTGTCTTTTATGCAGTATTTAAATTATTTTCATACATATAAATAACTATTCCTAATTAGTACTACAGGAATTGAATGTAAATAGTTAATACAATTATTGTGGAATCAACGTTTGGTATATATTTTATATTATTTGAAATTAATTAGATAATTATTGAAGATTACATTTTACATAATATTTTATATGTAGCTGTAAATATATAAATGTTAAAAATAATAACTATAATTTATTGAACAGATTACACTGTATAAATATATAGGTATTAAAAAAAAAAAAAAAAAGAATAACATGTGTAACAGTAATAGATAAATATTGAACATTCAAAATTAAAACAATTTAACATGTGAATAAAGTTAGTAAAATGCCAAAGTATTTCAACAAATTGACTAAAACTGACATCACATTCACACCAATACCTAGTCCTATAAAATCCATTTCATGCATAATTTATAGTCTTGCACAAGATATAATTTTAACAGGAAAGAAAACTATTGCATGATGCAACATCAAATCAGCAATCATCATAAGGTTCATAATACTTATTGAAATACATTTAGAAACACTAATACATTTTTGAGAGTATTAGTATCAGTGTCACCTAATCAAAATATAGGTATGTATTATATTAATTGTTTTATAATAGTAAAATAATTTTTAGGCTATGAAATAAAATATATTATAAAGGCAGAGTTTATACATAAAATACCATTTTATATGATTTATGTATTATTTATACCCATAAGTCAAACAATCGCAGGTAATAGTATTAATCAATAACAAAAGTGATAATGATTTATAATTTTAAAATGTAATCAGTAAAGCCGTTAAATACATAAAATACATAGACACAGGATTGCCTAATTCTTTGGCGTTAAATTCCTGGCTGTAAAAATTTTGATTCCGAACAATTGGTGTTATTATAAAATTTTATCTTATCATTTCTATCTCTTATCAAAGAGGAGAACTGACCCAAGCCTGATGGGATTTTTATTTTTCTGAGTTGACAGACATGTGTTCAAGAAATTTTGATATTATCTTTTTTTTTTCTCATTACTCCGGAAGAACTGGGTTATACGATATTGTATTATTTTATATATCAGTGGTTTCCAATCGGTATTTTGCATCTCGATCTTAGGGGGTTCGCGGTTGTGTAATACTATAATGATATTTTGGTGAAACTATTAACATTGTAGTTGTTTGAAATTCCTGGTATTTTTGAACTATTGAAACTATTATTTCGAATAAGATAGTTTTGTATAAACGATTATCAACCGGACCCAAATAATTCGTGGATAAGAAATTAATTTTCCTGTGACATTGAAAGAAATAGAAAATCTCTCCGAACAGAATGAATCGATTGGAATTGGTAAATAACGTTTCTAAGGTTTGAAAAACTTTCTAACCTGAATTTTTTTTATAGGTTTTTCAAAATTTGTTGATTTTGATTTTTATAGATTTTGATTATGTAAGTGGAATTTATTTTAGTTTTTTGGAGCTCGGATAAGATTGTTTAAAATATTCAATGGGCTTAAGTGTAAAACTTGAATATAGAGTAAGTAGACAAAATTATAAATATATTTATATAATATGTATAAGATTTAAGATAATTATAATTCATAGGATTGAAGTACAATACAGATGTATGAGATTTAATTACTCATATTTATTTGTAATTCAGAAATTTTAATAGTTATTTATAAATCAGTAAACATATAACAAAGATTCTTCTAAAATTAGTTAAATCTTTTTTGTACATAGAAATATGTTAGGGCTTTAGCCACCATAACATTTTAAGTATAAATTGCACCATTTCCTAAACTTTTGTATATTCCCATTGTTGAAAGTAAGATAATATTATAATTAAGTTATTATTAAACCGTGGAATCCTTGAACTAGCAGCCCCCTTATCATCCACAACCAGGGCCAGTGCTAGCAATTATTGATGAAGGCGGGATTATAAAAATACTAATTTGATGACTGTTTTCTTGATCAAAATTCTGCAATACTATTATTACTTAATTCGTTGACAATTACTGACTATATAAATCTGTCATTTGTAGAGTGGGAGTATTGAACCCGGTCATACCCTTCTTAACGCTGGCATTGTTCACAACTATAGATATAAATGTAAATAAAAATATATAAAATAATGTTATTCTTTCAAGTTTATTAAAGTATAATTCAATAATTCAAAATTAAAATACATAAATCGAATAATATAGTAAAAAAAAAATTATTAGTAGTTCTTTAGATTTGTTTGATCATTATAATTCAATATCAGTAATTTTATCTATAGTTTCCAGTAAAAATGTATAATCCTCTTCAGTTTTCTTTTGAATTAATGTGGAGTATATGGTTTTTATTTCATCCGTTTTACCAGTCAAACTATAAAAAATTAAATGTATTAGTAAGCATATAAATAATTATTAATAACAATTTGACTTACGCGCCTGTTTCATCTGTAGATACTTTTATCATGTGTTTTAAAACGAATCCCAAATGGTGTTCTAACTGTTTAAAGTACTTGACAGGATTAAAATCATGTATATTTATGAGTTTAGGTGTATTTTCTTTCAAAAATAATTCATGATTTATTGACTTACAAAATAAATCAGTAATTAAACCCAAATTATGAAAGATGTTAGTGATAGATTCCATTTTAGATCTTTTTCGATCTAAATATTTATCATGATTGAAATAGGTTTAAAAATATTTTATAATCTTATTTAACTTTAACTACTTACAATTCATATGAAATTCTTCCAATAACATTTTTTGGTTCGTTATTTCTAATGCCCTAAATGGAAGGTTTTCCGTCAAAAATATTTTAAAGGCATCTTCATACTCATCATTACAAAGTCTTAAAATATTTGCGTCATTAATTGTAACACCGAGCCTAAAAAATAAATATGATAGTTAATTTAATACATATTTAATTAAATTTATTAATGAAGATGAAATCTACTTTTATCAATTACACACAAAATAATCTTACCGTAATTGTTTAAAACGTAAATCTCCCAAAGTGGTTTTAGTTACTGCAATTTTTTTTATATATGATCGCTTTATGTGCTCTTTACTAATCATATTATAAAAATACAAAGATTTTTCAAGCCAACGAATAGCTACAACATCAGTATTTTTTACCTAAATGTCAAAAATATTTAAATATGAAAACAAATACTTAAAGAATTCTACTATTGTATACTTCAGCTTTGGAACATAGTGAAACATATTTTGTGCCCACTAAGTTAAAGATATCAAATAAATTGCTGTAACAGAAGTCCAAATCTGCAATATTACAGCTATGCTTGTCCAATACTTCATAACTTAGATTAAAGTATTTTAAGCCCTAAAATAACAAACAATTATTAGAAGTATAATGAAATTATTTTACTTCACAGCAGGAATTAAACTAACCTTTTTTTCCAAATTTTTTTCAAAGTTATTTCTATAATCAGGATTAACTTTTAATATATACACTAATGCCAAAGAATATGTAAGAAGCATTTTTTGATACAAGTTTGATAGCTTGCTAGTTTCATATTTTTTATTAATTATACTAATCTGCAAATCAAAATATTCTTCACATGTTTTTAATATCCCTTCAAATTCAAAAAGAATTAATTTAGTTGAATTTTTAATCGCACCTATAAAAAAAACAAAATTTAAATATAAATAATAATTACATATTAAAAACTGAGTAGCATTATAATTTACTTAATAAATGGTTTATATTATATGTAACATGCTCTATATAAGCTAGACAAAGTTCTTTCTTGATTTCATTGCTTTTTCTTTTATCTACAGTAAATTCCAATGATCGTTTAAAACAATATTCCACTGCTTTCAATATATCACATTTCGATTCAAAGTTACATGTTATTAATTTTAAATCTAATTAAAAAAATATAAAAAATAAAACATGACAATGTAATAATGCAAGTGTAATTGAATTACCTTCATGAGAATAATGTTTACACTCATTTTTCAAGAAATCTATAATAATTGATTTATGATCTTCAATATATTCAAATTCTGTTTTATACGTTGCGGAATTATCCCATGATATAGCAATTCTTAAATAACATTTACCAATTTGTTCTATGATATATTCTTTTAGAGGATTGACAATAGTGGTCGAGCCAAAAATATGTATTTGGCATTCAAATAAAAGAAGCAAATGTTTCATACATGCTCCATACCTAATAAAAAAAAGATTTATAAATATTTTCAAAATTGTTCAATTTTTTTTTACTTAACTTACTTATCTAATGAAAAATCTTTTGTACATGATGACAGGCACAACAAACTTGCTTTTTCAAGAAATAATAATCTCAATTTCTCTTTCCATATTCTAATACCACCAGATTGACATATTATAATGCTATTATAAATAAATTTAATTGAATTGACACAAATTACTTTTTAAAAAAAATATTTTAAATCTATACTTGTTCTTCCATTTAATACTATAACAATTTTTGGGATCAAATTTAGTAATATTTGCTTTAAGTGTAGATGATGATGGGTATGCAGTATTGGGTTCATCCAAAATTCCAGGCTAAAATTGTAGTTATTTAAATTATAAAATATTTCTACATAAATTTATCTAGATCAAACTTTTATTTTCACAAAAATATATCTAATTATTATTACAAATCATTCATTTTTTATTTATTACCTGTGGATAAACTGTAAAGTTAATGTGTTGTATAATTTGTAAGCCACACGCAACATTATAAAATGACTTACGATAACATTCAATATTTGATATCTCAACAGGTTTTGAAGTATTGTACTCGGATTCTGAAACAATTTAAACATTTTTAATAAACAATAAAATAATAAATATTAAATTAAAATTAAAGTTTATTAAATGGTAAATACTCGTAGAATAAGATATAAATAAATACACAAATAGTTTATATATAGAAATGAATAAATGCTTAGCTTGAAGTATTATTATATTTGTAAAGTATGATTGATTTTCGAATTAAACATTTATCATCAGGCCCGAGGGGGTGGGCAATAGGGGCAGTTGCCCAGAGTCCTGCACCTTAAATTATAATTAAGGCCCCGGAGTTCTAATTTAACTGAACTTATAATATTTTATTAATATAAATTATAAGACCAAACATTTATTTTGCCCAGAGCCTCGCAAACTCTAGCACCGTCACTGTTTATCATCAGGTATATACCAAGTCAATAAAATCGCAACCCAGACGTATGACTTTACAAATATAATATTGCTCCAGGCTAAGCATTTATTTATCTATTTCTATACATAAAAACAATTTTTTATTTATTGATATATTATTTTTAATAGCTATCAAAAATTATAAATTGTATTCATACTAAAAAAAAAAATTACCCTTGGATTTATTTATTTTATGTAAAATATATAAATTAAATATGTCAATAGAATTGATTGGCCTGTAGTAATTTTGATCAAGTTCATCGTTGTTAAGGAGCGATAAAAATGGTTTGACGGTAGTATTATCATCATTTTTACCCGGAATGTAGAGCTCGGAAAACATATAATTGATTGCTGCATGAATCTGTAAATTGCAAAATTAATAATAATAAGTATTACAAACTCTATTGTACAATTATAATTACTATGGGGAAGTTTGTTTTATTCAAAAGTTTTGAACTATTGTATAGTAAACTTTCAATAACATGGGTTTTTTTTTCGCTATTCGAAGAATTTAACTTGTGATTAGCAACACGATATAACAGCATAGCTACTGGAACAGTAAACAGATTTTGGTCTTGGGGTGATGGTTCAAAACATAAAGTTGTCAAATCATATGTTGTAATCATAGATTCATTTTCCCCTGTAATTTAATTGAGTTCAAAAATTATAAAAAAATATTTAATCAATAATTTTTAAATTATTATCCTTAATCAATACCTTTATACAACCAATATGTATGGCCAACCTTAGAAACTTTTGATTTCAAAAATGATAATAAATTGCGTGCAATGTATACAAAATTGTTAGGTAAGAATTTATCTTCAAACTTTGGTAAATTTTCAGTTTTTACTTTCTCATATTTTTGAACTTTTCCGTCTAAATGATGACATAATAAAACTTCAGGGATATTGCATATCAAATTATCCAACCAGTAATCGACAAGAGGTAAATCATTCATTGACTTAGAATGTTTAGATAAATCCCTAAATTCAACAATAAAATGTACAATTTTTGTTTAAATAAAAAAGAATTACAAGTATTGTTTAAATTTCTAATGAATATTAATATATTTGTTATTATAATATTATATTTTATTTTATACTTTAATCTCAAACTTTGGAAAGAAGTCCCATTTTTGAAAATTGGCAAATCAGAACCAATCATCATTTTAACATCTCCAAAAGTCCATAATATAGTTTGGTTGAAATTATGATCTTTAGGATAATCTGGAAATTGCTCTTCAGGAAATGGTTGTGGTAATGATAAAATATTCTATAAATGTAATATAAATATTTAATATATTAATTGTATGTTATCTAATTAATTACTTCATTGAATAGTGGCGAATTTAAGATTGTTAATGGTGGATGCTATTTTGTTAATAATGCTTCTGAGATACTCATTATAGACAATAACAAGCCAAAAACAAAATAATAATTTGAAGCTTTAATGATTAGGAAAATATGTTGTATGCATGTATTTTGGTTACTTTCTAGGGCAGGGAACGGGAAACTGCAGTTCCTTAACATGCAATCTGTGGCTCTTTAAAAAATGCATTAATATGGAAACCCATAAAATATAAATTATATTATAGTGGTAATATTACTGAATTTTTTAAAAACGATGTTTATTTCAGATAAAAATAAAATAATATTTTATTTATAATTACCCTACAATATTTATTATTAATTTCTTTCAACATTTTACTACACTAAAACAGCAATATTGTGAACGAGATGCCTATAAACAAAAATTGAAGAGGAAAATAGAGAACTAATAAAATACTTTTGTATTTTTGCAAAACATAAAGATATTAAAAATTATAGATAACTTCCTAGACCCTTGGTGTCCTATTTATTTACACCCATAATCACATCTGGAAAAATATGAATAATAGGTATGTCATTCTTTTAATTATTTAAGACTACAATTACTTAAATATATATTGATATGTAGTATTTGATATCTAATTAATTTATTATAAAAAAAAAAACTGAAATTGCTAAAACAGTAGATGTTTCAGCTCTTAAGCATCCCCTACCTCTTAAATATGCTACTCTATAGTATAAATGGGCTAAACTTACTGGATTTAGTTCAGATGCAGTTGTAGACTGTTGGTAATTATCATTTTTGGAATCATTTGGTGTATCAGCAATGCTATAATGTAAAAACTTTGAGTTCAAAGTTTTTTCTTGTATAACATTAAAGGAATTCACTTGACGACTTATAAATTTTTCCTATATTAATAAAATCTATCATTGATTAATTATAAATTTAAAATTATGAAAGAATTTCAACACTTTATTTTGTAGAATTTTAGACTAGAATAAACCATATAATTAAAATACATTTTTAACAGTTTAAGGCATACAATTTTAATAGTATAATTATTAGTAAAATATTCTTACCGTTTGACCAGATTTGAAAATGTGGTCTGAAAAAAATTTTTTCAGCCAACTCCAGTTTTTTTGTTGAGTTTCTACTACCAAGTGTTTAGAAGCATCAAATTCATCTATGATAAATGTATCACCAACTTTATGAACCATCATACTAACCTATAACACAATTTAAATACTTAAATATTTCCTCTTTACGTTTTTTTAGTTAAATGTTTAATTATGTTTTTGAACTTAAACTATTTATACTATGACAAAATAGATAATTAAGTTCAGTGTTATGCACAAAAATTATACATTTTAAAAAAGAAGCCATTGAAGGGTAGTATATATATGTACTTAATAATTCTATTAAACTTTGAATTGTCAAAACATACAGATTTTTTACTGAATGGTATTTTCAATAGCTGTTTGATATTTTCTGCGTCTGACACAATATCCACTTTATCGATGGTGTCTATAAATTTATTAGCCATTTGAAAACTAAAAATAAAAATAATAATAATGACAATTAATCAATAAATCATGAAATTATAATAAATTAATTTACCTAGAAAAACCTGATTGAACAGACATGTTTTGTAAGCCATAAGATTCAGCAGCACTACTTAGCCAATTCGATGGTGCTGGGTTTAAATTAGTGTTCACAGGAAGAATCAAACTAGTTGGTCGGTTGACTGAAGAATGTATGATTACAGATTTTGAAATGATATTCTTTGATTCATCCTAAAAATGAAAAAACATAAAAATTATTCCTTTTAAATATCAAATAGGTTATTTACAACTAAAAGATTATTTATAAAAATAATTTACCAACATTCAATTTTTATATTATACGAATATTATACCATAATAGTAAAATTAACAATAAGTAGGTCCATAATCACCAATAATTAAAACTGGTACGAAATCCTAAATAACCAATTTCTGTTATACCAAGAAAACATTTTTTTTGATTACCCAATCAACATATTATTAAATATTAAAATTAATATTACATATTATATTACATATTAAAACATTAGTTCTTTATCTTTAATGATTTTTGATATTTGATATTTTAATACATTTAATATACGTAAAATATATAATATATATATACTACATATACTTGACACTCAAAATACTGCAAACAAAGGTGTTAAAAATGAATTATATAAATTTAATTTTTTAATTTTTACTATTTATTATTTATATTATCATTTTTATATAAAATAATAATTTTAAAATGCAAATAGCCCCATTTGTAAGGTTATCAATACTATAATGACGTATAAAATATAATATTAATTGTATAATAAAATGCATAATTGATGTAAACTAATTGATTAAAGCTTTTAAAATGTACATTTAGTAACGAAAGAACCGTAATATCTAAATTTATATTTAAAAATAAACAATACAAATTAGTATGTTGTACCTATATATCATAATTGAAACTAATGAAATTATGGTTTGAACACGTGAAAAAAAATACCTTCCAACATTTTGTCATTTTCAGATTTTTTTTTGATATATAATATTTTTAATAAAAATCCATTTTACATAGATGTAATTTTATTTATTATCATTTGCAGTAGGAATTATATAATAAGTAAACAAAATATGAAAGTAATATAAATCAGTGAATAAATAGTTTTATATTACTTAAAAGTAATAAAAGACAATAAATAAGATTGTCTTTTGTTTTTCTCTTTCGTGGTTTACATATAAATTCTAGTAACATTATTTTGTTATTATTAGTTCTATAGGTACTAATTTACAATATGTCTTATAATATTTCATTTGTGATCCATTTTAAATTTGATTGTGCAGTTTCTTTGCGTTTATTAGCACAGCTTACGGTATGTGTATAATGCACTCATTCAATTAATAATATGTATTAGAAATAATTATAAATAACATAGTACTAAAACAATTTAGTTGCTGGATTATAATATGTTCCATACGTAGATATTAATGTGATAGATAAAAGAAAATTGAATTTTTAGTATGAACCAATTTAATAATTTTTATTTTTGAGCCCATCCAGTTAATTCGCCCAAGACCGCTTTCTAATTCATGCAACGGTCCTTATAATAATATCACACACACGCACACTTACACACACACACACACAATAGGTATATAATTTCTAATACATATTAGCGATAGCTAATTTACGTATTAAACAGTTGCCGAAATCAAAAAATGCAAATAGGGCATATTTCAAAAATAACGAGATACCACCGCTTCATGACTGGATTAGAAGCATATTAATATTTGCCAAGTACGAAAAATATTATTGAACAAACAAAACGTATCCAATTCATCTACCGGATAGCAAGTATAAATGAGTCAATTGTCGATTGTCAACGGACGAAAATCGTTACACAATTATAACCTGTGTTTATTGACAATTCACAAAAAAACAATAACTTGCGCCGGTCTAATCAATGGGCCACCGAACACCAACTCATCAGCAAAATATCATGCAATGGAGCGTCTCCATCTACCCAACTGTAGACTTCTGCACCACCGATTAAAAATTAGGTGAACACAATAGCGTATGTGAAATAAATCCAATCGTCGTTCCGGACTCACTATTACGGTGCAATTCTTTTGAGGACCTCGACGCCGTGGCCTTCTGCTTGCCATGTCTGCTGCGACGATACGAAACACAGGTGGTCGTCCCGAAGAAGCAACAATGTGGTTAGCACGTGAAAACGATTGGAAAAGCCGATAGGATTCCGTAGTTCTAGCGACACCGCGCGGACCGCCGACTGGTGACGAGGACAATGATCCGCTAATAATAGTTAGAACGGTCGAAACGAGACGATGAGAAAACACAATGCTCTGCGCGATGACGCTGTGGGCACAGTACACGCAATATTACCGAACGGTGCGAGAGTGAACGTGAGCGGACGGAACGCTACAGGCAAATGACAGTGCGGCCAGCGACCACTAGCGTCGGGACGCGCTAATGGCGGACGGCGTCCGATGCCGCGTCTCAACAACCCTTGGAAGACACGGTGTCGTTCTAACCTATCAGGTTCGGAGTTCAAACCGGATCCCAGTCAACCGCGTACGCGCACCCCTGTCTCGCTCTGTTGACCAGATTCTACGACCAAAATTCGGCAACGTACCACGACCTTGAAGCGTACGCCCCGACTCGGACACCACCGCGGCCGCAATGATGATCGCTTTGTTCGCATCATTTTACTTACCGAGAACAATATTGTTACGTATATACCTGTTCACAATCCTAAGAAAATTCCGTCGCTGGATGAATCCTTTGTTCAAGTCGTCTGTCCTTCTTTATTTTATTTTATATTTATTCTGTTTCTACCTATACAGTGCTTATATTTATTGTAAAAATAATATATCTACAGATTGTATAATAAAACTAATTTAAAAAAAAAAAAAAAAAAAAACAAATAAATAGTCGCGTGAAGTCAGTACAACAGTTCAGACGAAGGATGTGTATTAGGATATTCCAAATAATTACTCAATTTAAGTTCAACTTTTATTTACTGTGAATATTTCCAAGTACAAAATATTTAATTAATTAAAAAAGTATACTTACGCATTATTATTTGAAAAACGCCCATAATCCTTTAACCATTGCAACTTGTACTACTGGTGTCTATTTATAAGAGTTATTCGAATATTAACTACGTGATATGTGGGTCCCCTATACAATGATACTCGTAAGGATCTAAATTATGTATGTCCGTAACTATATTATTATGATTATTATCGTCGACTAAAAATACTCATATACGGTTCAAAAAATGATACCGTGAAAACGGACCACCGCATCCCTATACGCGGTGCCGCAGCCCTTTCCTCGACGCAGAAACTATTGGGTACTACTGCGAAACCTACTGTCGAGATTTCATCAGATCCGCGGACATTTTGCACCGATACGTGTTTATGTGAGTTCGATCATTCGGTGCAACCTTTTTAATATATATTTTTCACTAAGTTAAATTGCAAGAGTGTACTAAAAACGATTTGCGAAAATAATAATCAATTACCGACACGTGTGAGGTTAAAATTTTTACTGATTTTTAAATAAAATAATACCGTGTTTTTCAAACGGAAACATCTCCAGAATTATAATTATTATTTTTACATTTTTAATGTAATTTTGTATGATATAAAAATCGTTTTTTCAGCGTTCAACTTGCTTAGATTCGGCGAGTTGAATAATAATAACGGTTTAATTTACTAAATGTATAAAATTACGAATCGAATTATGAATATTTTATAATATCACAATTAAAAATCCAATTATTATTTTCGTGTTTATAGCTAATGTAGGTTTAAACACATTTGTTTAAATTCGATAATATTTATCTTTTCCTGTTCGCATTAATGGGTTATCGCTACAACGTATAAACCATCGGTTTAAGCTTCTGTTTTCGAAAAGGTTATCTAATTTATACCACTTCCTTACGGTAGTCAATATGAAATGTTCCTAACTACATGCGTCTTTCTTCTTTTCAAAATTCATGAAAGTTAAAACTATCATATAATATAATAAAATATACAAAAACATAATTAATTTAAAAGTTAGCCACCATAACTCATGTTATGTCCTTGAGTTCTAATCTAAAATTTGAGAAAAATGCCCCACATTATACAAAAACTACAAAAAATGACTTAAAAGTGTTGAAAAATGACGTCAAAAATGCATTTATAGCTAAAAATGCAAAATAAGAATATTCTGCATCAAAGAAGCAAGAAACAAATTTTTAGCGAAGATAGTGTTGTATAGAACCAAAGGAAAAAAATGCAAGTCATCAACATCCTAACTCTACTTCTCTGGTTTGCCACATATTGTGTATCTATCTTCGAAAATATCAGATAGAAATATTATAAATTGTGTTCAGTACACGTCCTAAAGTGATATACGTTATAACGGCTCTGTCGCGACAAAGGGTTTAGCAAATAAACTTAAAACATAACAAATAAACAATATTAGTAATAAATAACGACAAATTATGCGTATTACAATTAAACGTAAATACAGTGCTACGCTCACACAGGCAATACAATATAATAATAACAAAATAATTGTAATAATAAGAGCCACGGCGCACAGTGGTCTGAAACGTTATTTTAGGCGCTCAAAAGTCCTATTTCAAAATGTGTTTAAAAAAAATAAATGTCAAAACTCCATAGTCATATGTTCCTTAGTTCAAATATAAAATTTCACAATCATACATTTATTTTTACTTCGTTAATAATTATTTGAACATGAAAATTGTACGTCTTGAACGTTTTTTTTCGTTATTTTTAATGAAACTTGATATTTTATTTATCAATGAAATATAATTTTTTTTTTTAATTTAATTTTTTATTTTAATTACTTTAGGTGTATTAATGATAGTAAACGCATAAAAAAAATATTTAAATTTTTTTTTATCGACAATTCGAAGTTATTTGAAAATATTTTAAATTTTGAGATTTTTTTTTAGCATGTAAATAAAAATTACTCAATTTTACCCGAAATCTGATATGTACATAAAATAAAGAGTTCCCAGGATTTCAGAAAAGCAATTTTTTTTTTTTTGCGTCCAGGCCCAATTATTTCGTACGGAAATTATTTTCCTAAGGTTTATCACAATATTCGTAATAAAACATGATTTGTTTAGGAAATGTTAACTTTAGTATTTGAATTACGTATTTTTATGTCATAAACAGATAAGATTAGTTTTAAGATGATCAATTATATTACATTGATAATAATTATTTGAACTTGTCGTTAGTCTGTGCGTAGCCTACAGATGTGTAAATGTACAATTGTAACGAAATATTTGTATTTAATATAATATATTTTTAAAGTTGTAAAGTTTATTCTCATCAGAATATTATACATTTGTATCATCTTTAAACCATTTGGTCTAGTAAAATAGTTCTTATTACATCATTATGGATAGCCAATTCGAAAGTAAGAAAAAATTAATATACATATATTTTAAATATTTTTCGGTAAATATAATTACGCTCAATCGGTTATTATTACGTATTTTCAGTTGATCTCATAACTAACAATAAGCGTCAAAAATGTATTTTAAATCGTGAACTGTATGAAGTTGTACGTAATAAATGTTCCATGCAATCCGTGACAACTGTCAGTACAAGACAATTATTGTTTGTTTTTATTCAAAATAAATTCAGTGGTTTGAAGTGGAACAATGTTTATATTAAAGCAATAGGAAGTGCAATTATAAATTTTTCTTTAGTATTATCTAAAAAATGGGTAAGAGTATACCGGAATAATAATAAATTTAATAAAATGCATCAAATCTCATCGGATCCATACATATCGTCTATAAGAGAACTACCGAATAAATATCGACTCACATTCAGTGATGATTTACAAAACCTATTCATGTTTCCAGAATACACAGATAAAAGTACAGACACATTAAATTCGTCGTTTTCAGAAATGGAAATAATAAACGAAAGTGAATTATAATATAATAAATATTATTATTGTTTTCTTTTTTTAAAATTTCTAAAATAAATTTTATAGATTTGTGACATATATTTGCATATTTAATAATTATTATTTAGTAATTTAAAATTATAAATGTACAATATATACTATATATATATATACAGTCGACTCTCGATAATTCAAACCTTCGGTAATTCGAAGTAAATACTCGGTTCCTTGAAAACCACGCGGTAATTCGAACAAAAACAATGCATTTAAGTACACTTGGTAATTCGAAATTAAATTTTGGGAAAACTGGCCACTAACACTTAACAATTCGAAGTATCATTCGTTTAATGCTCGGAAATTCGAAATATATTCATCAAATGAAGCGCTCGGCCGAACAACGGGACAAGTGCCACTGAGCGCATTTTACAATGGAGGCGTTTAAAATATTACGAACCATTTCCACGACTTAAAACTAAACTTATTATTGCTTATTATTGCCTTTTAATATATTTTTATTGTAATTTCAATGCGGTAGTGAACATATACAATAAATTGTACTCGTGCCCCGATACTCCATCGATAAACGTAATATTGTCGAGATTGGCGCTTGTCCCGTTGTTCGGCCGAGCGCTTCAAATGTATTTTATCTGTAATCTTTTTATTAATAAATACTATACAATCGTGTAGAAATTTAGATTATTATTGTCGATAACTATAGAATATTATTGTAAGAACCTTATCGTTTTGTTTCTTAATCGTTTCTAATTGTAATTTAACTCATCGAGTCGTCGATAGCCGTCAGCCGAATGTAGTTTTATTTTAATTTCGTTTGGTCGGTTGTAAAGTCAAGTTCATGTGATGAGTGCGTTTAATTCTAAAAAATACAAATCTTTGACGATTTCAGAAAAAAAACAATTGATTGAAGCGGTTGAAAGAGGTGACAATAAAACCGAAGTGGCTAAGACATTTGGCATTCCTTTAAGTACACTGTCTACGATTTTGAAGGACAAAAATAAAATTATCACTGCGTCATCAAGCGGTGGTCGGAAACGAAACAGTAAAGGTGAGCATCCAAGACTAGAAGAGTGTTTAGTGCAATGGGTTAGGCAATGCAGAGGGCAAAATGTGCCTGTAAGTGGCCTCTTACTCAAAGAAAAAGCAAAATCATTCGCCAAAGAGTTGGGCATCCCGTTTTTCTCAGCTAGTGATGGATGGTTAACGAATTTTAAGAAAAGAAACGGTATTGTTTTCAAAAAAATTTGTGGAGAAAGTTCTAGTATTGACGATAACGTGTGTTCAGAGTGGCATTGTAAACTTTCAACTTTGTTAAAAAATTACGAGCCACGAAACGTGTTCAACACAGATGAAACCGCTCTATTTTTAAATGTTTACCAGATAAAACTTTTACTTTTAAAGAAGAAAAATGACACTGCGGGAAACATAGTAAAGACAGGTTAGCGATTTTATTAGTAAACATGGACGGCTCCGAAAAGTTAACTCCACTCCTCATAGGAAAAGCTGCCAAACCTTGTGTCTTAAGGGCATACGTTCATTTCCTATAACTTATCGTTCAAATAAAAAGGCATGGATGACGACAGAATTATTTAATGAATGGTTGTTTTCACTCAATGAAGAATTGAAAAAACAGGAACGAAAAATTCTACTGTTTTTAGACAACTGTACAGTTCATAATAACCCCCCCACCTTTAACTAATATAGAACTTCAATTTTTTCCTCCTAACACCACATAGAAGTTGCAACCACTCGACCAAGGTATAATTAAGAATTGTAAAACTTTTTCCCATAAGAAGT